TCACGAGCTGGCTTGCAAGCCAAAAAACTTATTCAGCTCGTGAGCTGGCTTGTGAGCCTACTAAGTTATTTGGCTTGCGAGCTGGCTCATGTGGAGCCTTAAACATTGAACTATTAAATGAGCTTACATACATCGAATCAAGTCAAAAATAAACATAATATTTGGGTCCAGATGATCTTCAAGAACAAGTGATGGAGTCTCTTTGTCACAAAATAGATCATCATCAGCTTCTAAGTTAATTGGATCCCTAATATTTACCAACATTTCTTGGAGTCTAAGAATAGCTCCATATGTTCCCTTGGGTCTTACAATTTCTCAGATAGTACAAAGCTGATGGCTGTCAAGCTGGAAACCAAATGCAAATTTTAATTAGGATTTCAATAAAAGAATTGAAACACTTAAATCATCATCATTTGTCTTCATCAGAGACTCTAAACATTTCTCTGCTGAAGGCTCTAGCACAGTCCAATTTTTTAGGGCAGATAAAAACATTGTGTTCAGATTTGATAGATCCGATTCTGAAGAAGATCCATGATTTTTGGATCTGATGAGTCTACAATCTTCCACCAAATTGGTCTAAAGAATGGACTTTGTTAGAATTTGACTATCATCAAAGAAATAGAACCAGTATTCATCCAACACTTACTTTAATGACAATTCATATGTAGTTTTTGGATCATCCTTAGAAATTGATAAGCAATGTTCCTCTATTACTTTTTTTAGCTAACTTGGTCATGGTGCATCAAATTCCTATTCAAACAGAAGTTCTTCATCATATACAACCTGTGCATACATCTGAAAGGTGAGAAGTCATCTTTGTTGCAGACTATACATTGAAAACACGATGGAAAATACAGCTACCCTATTCTCCAGAGTATGTTCATGTCAATGTTTATGTGAATGACTGTCTTCTGTACCTTGTAGGTGTCTCGCAAATTATCAGTTTCTTAAGTGATATATAGAAATACTCCTATATAAAAATAGTTAATATGAAACTCATTTACATCCGAT